GGAATATTACTCAGCCATAAAAAGAAACGAAATTGAGTTGTTTGTAGTGATGTGGATGGACCTAGAGTCTGTCATACAGAGCGAAGTAAGTCAGAAAGAGAAAAACAAATACCGTATGCTAACACATATATATGGAATCTAAGAAAAAAAAAAAAAAGTCATGAAGAACCTAGGGGTAAGATGGGAATAAAGATGCAGACCTACCAGAGAATGGACTTGAGGATATGGGGAGGGCAAGGGTAAGCTGTGAGAAAGTGAGACAGTGGCATGGACATATATACTCTACCAAATGTAAAACAGATAGCTAGTGGGAAGCAGCCACATAGCACACAGAGATCAGCTCAGTGGTTTGTGACCACCTAGAGGGGTGGGATAGGGAGGGTGGGAGGGAGGGAGACGCAAGAAGGAAGAGATATGGGAACATATGTATATGTATAACTGATTCACTCTGTTATAAAGCAGAAACTAACACACCATTGTAAAACAATTTACTCCAATAAAGATGTTAAAAAAAAAAAGACAAATCAAAGCAATTACTTGACATTCCTTACAATAATGACATGACATTTCTAACCCCAAGAAGCAAAGTAGACCAAAAATAAAATGTGTACAAGAGGCTTAGATCAATTCAGCCTCCATAATAAATTACTATGGAAAACCAGAAAGCCGGCCACTTGTTCCACACTGGAAGTGATAATAAAACACAGTGGCAAGCAAGCCCATCTGGAGAACAACAATCAGAAATGGCAGGGGGAGCTGAGGGATCTTTTAGAACAAAGACTCCAGGGCAACTATACGCTTATGGGGCAAAATCAAGAAGGCTAAGAAAACTCAGAAGAAGCACCTGTGTAGCCAAGTGCATGAGTGTAGGAATAACATAAGCATAGGGACTTCCCTTGCGGCGCAGTGGTTAAGAATCCGCCTGCCAATGCAGGGGACACAGGTTCGATCCCGGGTCCAGGAAGATCCCACATGCCGCGGAGCAACTAAGCCCGTGCGCCACAACTACTGAGCCTGCGCTCTAGAGCCTCCAAGCCACAGCTACTGAAACCCATGCAACCTAGAGCCCGTGCTCCGCAACCACTGAGCCCGCATGCTGCGACTACTGAAGCCCATACACTTAGAGCCCGTGCTCCGCAACAAGAGAAGCCACCACAATGAGAAGCCCACGCACCACAACGAAGAGTAGCCCCGGCTCGCTGCAACTAGAGAAAGCCCTCGTGCAGCAATGAAGACCCAGCACAGCCAATAAATAAACAAACAAATAAATAAATAAGGATGAAAGCTAACGTTTGTAAACACCTACTATGTGCCAGATGCTTTCAACGTACATATTAGCTTATTTAATCTTCAAAACAGCTTTTAGAGATGAGTATTATTATTATCATTACCATTATTATTACCATGTAAGAGATAAGAAAACTGAAACTTAGATTTAGTAAGTTGCCCTGGATCTGAGAGCTAGTAAATGCCCTGGCCTGTGCTATTAACCTAAGACTATTTTTTTAATCTACAGTCCCACATACAAAGATGTTATTTTCAAGAAAAACAGACAGTGATAAAATCATCAAAATATACGTCATGGGGGCTTCCCTGGTGGCACAGTGGTTAAGAATCCGCCTGCCAATGCAGAGGACACAGGTTCGATCCCGGGTCCAGGAAGATCCCACGTGCCACGGAGCAACTAGGCCCGTGCACCACGACCTCTGGGCCTGCACTCTGGAGCCCATGAGCCACAACTACTGAAGCCCGCGAGCCCGGAGCCCACGCTCTGCAGTGGGAGAGGCCACCGCAGTGAGAGGCCCACGCACCGCAACGAAGAATAGCATCTGCTCACTGCAACTAAAGAAAGCCCGAGCGCAGCAACAAAGACCCAGTGCGGCCAAAACTTAATTAATTAATTAATTAATTAATTAATTATATATATATATATATATATATATATATATATATATACGTCATGTCCGAAGTTAGTAAAAAACTGCTTTAGACATAGCCCTTTGTGTATCTGTACACAAACTTGGTGAGAAACTTTCTTACCTCACAATTTTCATAGCCTGACAATATTTTTGAGAGGGTCAGAAAACATGGATTGTCATCCTGTTAGACAGATTAAAAACACCGAAGTGCCAAATGCGGTTTGAGTGAAGGGCAGTGAAAGGATGGTGGCCCAGGCGCTTTGAAGCTGGCCAAGCCATGGGTCCTCCCACTGGATGTCCCTGAAGGGCCTTAATAAACCAAGACACTAACCTCCACATCCCCGTGAAACTGAACATGGTGCTCACACAGCGAGGGAGGGGCGGTGGCGTGAGTCCATCCAGGCGCATGAGCAGAGCTGGGACACCAAAGAGCACCAAGTACTTCACATAGAAGAAGAGCACTTGGGCCAACGCCAGTCCTCCTGAAAGACAGAGGGGCCTGTTAGACACAGCGACAAGAAGTGGAGCAATCTCCTGGGAAAGATGCAAGGCTCCAGAAACACACTACCTGCTCCCGCTTCTCCGACCACTCCCCTCCCCTCCCCGCAACTCACACATTTAACAAGTCTCCCATGTCGGTTCTGGGCAATGATATTTTGGGATTAACAAATATTGAAATCTCCTTTATTATTGTGACAGGCAACAGGACCTCTTAACCGTCATGCTTTTACAAATGCTAGAAAAAGGCACACTTTAAAAATACATAGATATGTAAATATATATATATATATATATATATATATGGCATTAAAAACTATTAGAAAGGAAAAATCCTTCCCAAATCCTTTCAAAACCTCACGTGAGTTCACACCCACTAGGATGGTTAAAAGCATAAAGTCAGATCAAAAAGGGGGCAAAGATGTGGAGAAACTGGAACCATCATACACTGTTGGTAGGAATGTAAAATGATGTGGCCACTTTTCTTTTTGGCCATGCCACACAGCATGGGGGATCTTAGTTCCCTGACCAGGGATCAAACCCATGCACCCTGCAGTGAAAGCGCAGAGTCTTAACCACTGGACCACCAGGGAAGTCCTGATGCGGCCACTTTAGAAAACATTTGGCAGTTCTTAAATGATTAAACATACAGTTACCATATGACCCAGCAATTCCACCCTTGGGTATATACCCAAGAGAAATGAAAACAGGGGCCCACATAGAAACTTGTACCTGAATGTTCATAGCTGCATTATTCACCCAATAATGTGGTTAATAATCCGCCTCCCAATGCAGAGGACACGGGTTCGAGCCCTAGTCCAGGAAGATCCCACATGCCCTGGAGCAACTAAGCCCGTGCGCCACAACAACTGAGCCTGAGCTCTAGAGCCCATGAGCCATATCTACTGAGCCCGCGTGCTGCAACTACCGAAGCCCATGCACCTAGAGCCCGTGCTCCGCGACAAGAGAAGCCACTGCAATGAGAAGCCCGCACACCGCAACAAAGAGCAGCCCCGCTCGCTGCAAATAGAGAAAGGCCGTGCGCAGCAATGAAGACCTAATGCAGCCCAAAATTAATAAATTTAAAAAAAGAAAGAAAGAAATGAAGTACTGATACATGCTGCAACATGAATCTTGAAAACAACATGCTAAGTGAAGTGAGCCACAAAAGGCCACATATTACATGATTCCATTCAAATGAAAGTCCAGAAGAGGGAAACAAAAACAGAAATAGAGACAGAAAGTTGATTACTAGTTCTGTAGCACTGAGGGGCTGGAGAGCAAGATTATGGGGGGTGGTGGCTAAATGGTAGGGGCTTTTTCTGAGGTAATGAAAATGTTCTAAAATCGGTGGTGGTGATATTTGCACATATCTGTGATATACTAAAAGCCATTGAGTTGTACACTTTAAATGGATGGATTGTATGATACGTGAACTCTATCACAATAAAGCTATTAAAAAAAAAAAAGCATAAGGGCCCCAAGCTGTAAGAACCAGCAGCTTCTTGGCCAGAACTGTGTCCTCCTGGAGCAAAAGGAATGCAGGGTGTGGGCGCAGGGTGAGATCTGAGGCCGAGACACATACTCTGGCGCCACAGGCCTCCGCCTGTGCCCTCTGAGGGCGACCCATGTCTCCAGCTGGAGCTCAGGATGCTCTACTGATTGACACAGCCCTGTGGGCTTCTGGGCCAGTTGCTTCCAACCTCTTCACCCTGAGAGGAGGATGGGGCATCTGGGCTATAGGTCTACGGGGCACCACAAACCCGGGCAAACTGCTGGCCTCGGCAGCAGCGTGAGGAGGTGAAGCGAGTCTGCCAGAGCAGTGCCCATAAGGAGAAGGCCAAGGGCAAAGTGCACGAGGAAACCCCGGAGTAGGTGACCAGTGGCCACATGCTGTCCAACCTCCAAACTCACCTTCCCCAGCGTGCAGGGAAATAATGCAGGGCAGGCTGATGCCACTGACCAGCTTATCTGTGGGATAGTCTGAAGGAAAGAGCGAAGCCTTAAAGAAGTACTAGCAGAAGATATTACTATCTGGTCCTCTTGATGTTACACAAGGATCTTTTAAAGAATATCACTACCATGGAATGTGTGTCTATAAATAGTAATTCTGTACCAGAAGAAACACATAAGCCATTTTCTGAATATACAATTTGGGCAAAGGCAAACAGTGGTTCAAATTCAACAGCCATGTGTCTTATAAGGAGAAAACCCCAGGAATCACCGTGTCTCAGTCCCACTCGGGAGTGGTCAAACAGGTTCTTTTTGGAAACCAGACCACAGTCATATCTGTTGGAAGGGCTGGTATATAATGGTAGCCTTCTTGGATGTATCTGATAAGAGACAAGAAAAAAGCTGATGTGTGTGCATGTGTGTGTGTGAATACATATATATGTGTGTGTGTGTGTGTGTATACAAATTCAACAGGAAGAGGGGTATATATGCTAACAATACCATCCTAAAAGCATTTGCTGGGGGGCACAGGACCACCCTGAATGGTGGAGAAATCAGTTCCATTGGCTGAGATGGCAGTGAGGGAACCTATAACATATTTCAAAATGAACCACCAGGCTCTAGTCAGACAAGTCTCAGAGCTACCAAAAGGCAGGACAGAAGTAAGAATGACTAATTAAAAGGCACAAAGCTTCCAGATCTGACAATGATCAGCCTGAAGAACTGAAGGTATCGAAGGACCTATGGAAGACTGAATACGGATGGTCAAGGCCACCCAGAGCTCTTTTATAGATGAAGCATCAGAGGTTTCTTTTCCTTGTTAACGGATACCAGATCAGGAAGAACAGGCTGCTCCTCGTCTCAAATGCTGCCTTTAATTTGACATTTTTTTCGTACAGCTGTTATATATGCAGCATATGAATTAAAATCCATAACTGAATCTACATTTTTATGAATCACCATTTGCATACAATCGTCACCATTTGTTAGTACTTTTATATGGAACTAGGCTAAGGAAAGGGTTGACTTTGTACAGGTATTTAATAGAACTCTGTGGCTAGATCTAATTGAAGATAACACAATTGGGGATTTTTTTCCCCCAATATGGATGGAAAGCATAAGAAGCCACATATTTATCAATATGCAACAAGTGCCCCATTTACCTGATATTGACTACTTTTTTATGGATTAAGATACAAAAGGCTTAACTTTTTCCTTGACATTTTAGTAACTGGTTCATAAGCTTATAGAAAAAGAAATGATGCATAGTGGTTGTTAAAACATTATAATTGTGATTTCTGTATTTAGTCTTTCTGGAAAAAAAATGTGTTAAACCCATGTGTTAAACCCATGAGTTTAACAGTTCTGCTCTCTTGCTGTTGATTTCTATCATCCCTATGAAAGACGCATGGCTCATTCTTCTTTCCCCTTGACCTGAAGATTAGTCTTTCCCTTTTAAGATTTGGCCCAAGGTTTCAGGGCTAACCCTAGGGATTAACAATCTCCCACTAGGAATATGATATGCTGGAAGGCAACATAAGATCATATGATATCACTTATATGTGGAATCTAAAAAATGGTACAAATGTACTTATGTACAAAACAGAAATAGAGTCACAGACGTAAAAAAAAACAAACTTATGGTTACCAGGGGGGAAAGGGGGAAGGAGGAATAAACTGGGAGATTGGGATTGACATATCTAAAATAGATAACTAAGAAGGACCTACTCTATAGCACAGGGAACTCTACTCAATACTCTGTAATGACCCATATGGGAAAAGAATCTAAAAAAGAGTGGATGTATGTATATGTATAACTGATTCACTTTGCTGTAGAGCAGAAACTAATACAACACTGTAAATCAACTATATTCCAATAAAAATTCAGAAAAAAGAATACAAGTGACTCTACTCTGATTGAAAGTTATTTGACATACATAAATTGAACTCACTTTCAGTATATTTAAAAATACAAAATTTAGCTATTTTTTTAATACTTTAAAACATTTTTGCCAGGATCATATTTAAAAGATCTTCTTACTAGCAGGAGTTATGATTGGTTTTTACCTAACCCAACACCTTCCTCCCAAAAAAGTCATAGATGAGTTCATACGTTACACTCATTTATTCAACAAGCATGGCCCGAGCACCTGACCACTGAATCACTAGTTAGTTGCTATGGGAAGTAGACTAGTGGTCAGACCAGGTGGGGATCCAGGCTTCAGGGAGCTCACAGGTCAGTTTCATTACAGTTCCATTTATCTCTCCCCTTGGCACTTGGTGTTTTCTTCTGCCTTTATGCCCTATCCCACCGTTTCCTGGCAAAATCCCATTTATCCTTCAGGCCCCAATTCCAATATGGCCTCTTCTTAATTTCCCTATGCTTCAAGCGGAATCAATAACTTATTTTGCATTAATTCAATATATACTTATTGAGCACCAACGGCTTACCAGATACTGAGCCATACAGTGTTGAATAAAGACATGAGATCCCTGCTTTATAGAGTATACAGTGTGTTAAAAGTGACAGAAAATAATGTAAATCAGGAGTGGGATTAAAATCCTCACGTCTAGAACCATCTGAACACAGTGACTTAGACACATTTGTTAGAACACTTAAAACTATTCGTTGTAATTATTACATGCCTAGTATGGTGTAGATGCTTGGTATACATCAGTGGACATTCCTGCCTTCATGGGGCTTACATCCTAACAGGACTCAACAAAAAACAGACATAAAAATAAATAAATTCTATATGGATACTAAGGAAGTATGGCAGAACATATTCTCCAACAGTGGCTGCAATGATATCTTCCATCTCACATGCCCTTCTGTAATGTAATCTTGCCACTCCCCCCGTCAAAAGTAAATCTGGGCAGATCCTAGGACCAAGAGATTCAGAAAAAGTGATGCTGTTCCAATTCCAAGTGTAGCCTGTCATTGGCCTGGCATCTTCTGCTTCCTGCCCTTTGGAACGCTCACTCTTGGATCCAGCTGCCAGGCTGCGAGATGCCCGAGCCACGTAGAGAG